CCCGCCCGCAGTCGGGCTGTATTTAAGGACACCCGTCCCCAAGCCCACTTGGGGACACATTAAAGGTGGAGAGAGGACTGGGGTCTATGTCATTGGGCTCCTGACGGGCTCTCCCTTCCGACGTTCCCAGAGTCCCGCTCCATCTGCTTCTTCCTGTCTTTCCACCATTCATTCCGTCCTCAGGCAAACACTGACCATTTCTGTGTTCCATGTGATCCTGGTGAACACCAGATTTATTTACTGAGCATCCTGAGCCCTGTACTAAGTGCTTTAATTAACTCATTTAGTCACCATAACAAAGCTTTGGGATACAGGGCCGCTCCTAACGCTTGAAATGTGAGGAAACTGAGGCCCAGAGAGGTTAAGGGGGGGTAGTTCCTACCCACTGAGAGGGGAGGGGACAGACATAGTAAGCAGCATCAAGACAGGAAAGCAGGATGGAGTGAGAGAGATGGCTTTGGGGAAGAGGGAGGGCTTCTTGGAGGAGGAGGCATTTGGGACTTGAAGGTAGCCTGGGGGAGGATGGAGGAGAGTGTTCTTGGTAGGAGGACAAAAGCAAGTGAGCATGAACTTGGGGTGAGGGAGAGAGGAACAAGGCCAGTGTGGTTGGAAGGGAGGGGCAAGGCGAAGGGTGTTGGGAGCTGAGTCAGACAGTAACACAGGCCAGAGAGTAATAACAATCCTCCACACCAGGTATGCATCTACCAGCTCACTGCATTCTCCCTGCAGCCCAGGGCAGGGGTTGGCAAACTGCGGCCTGCAAGCAAATTCTGACCCACTGCCTGTTTCTGTAAATAAAGTTTTATTGGAGCACAGCCATGAATCAGATCGTCTCTGGCTGTTTCAGTGCTGCCAGGGCAGAGTCAAGTAGAAACTATGCAAAATCAAAAATATTTCCTATCTGGCCCTTCACAGAAAATGCTTGCCAACTCCCGCTACAGAGACCACTTTACACATGGGAATACTGAGGCAGAGAGAGGCTGAGTGACTTGTTAAGGTCACATAGCTAGCAAGCAGCCCAGCTGGGAATTGAACGCAGGCAGTCGGGAGTTAAGGGTCTCTGCGTAACTCCTGACTGGTACTGCTTCCCGGACCACAACAGGCCTGTGGGAACCTGTGGGAACTTGTACTCAGGGGAAGATGGGAGCCGTGACAGGACTCCGAACAGAGAGGGGTTGTGATTTGACTTAGGTGCCCAGAGGGTCCCTCTGGCTGATAGTTGAGAGTAGACTGAAGCAGCGTGGGGTGGGAGTAGGGGGTGGGGGGAAGGCCGCTGCAGGTGACTGCAGGGTGACTGCAGGGTGACCAGTCATCCTCAAGAGGGATGCCGTTGCCCCGAGCTGGGGGGTTTCCTCCCTGTGCCTCCCGTTCTCCCAACTGCCGTGCGGTCTTGCTTGTGAATTCTCTCCCGCTTCCTCTTTCTCCTGCCTCTTGGTTTCCCCTGGTCCTCCCAGGTTTCAATTCCCCCATCTCTCTCCTCTGCCCTTCTCAGTCCCCAGACCTGACTTGCTCCCTTGCCCAGTGGTGCCAGGGGGCAGGATGGTGCGAGCCGAGGTTCCGTCGCCCATGGGTGGCATTAGGCCTGGGTGAGTGGGTCGTGGCGCCCTCCCAGTTCACAGGAGCAATGAGGTTACTCCTCCTGCCCCAGGTCTGCCAGCCACAGAGGTAGCGGGTGGGGTAGGGGCAAGAGTTCGCGATGCAGAGACATGCAGCCATTGTCACCAGCCTCGTGTGTGGAGACACACTCGAAAGGACACAGTAACACGGACGGTAGTCACTGCAGCTCTGGGAGCGTTTGGCACACAGGCACACGCAACTCATACGGAAGTTCAAGTGTGGACTGTGTCCCACAGTCAGGCAAACGCATTCACCTCAGAGCCACAATGGACACACAAAAACTTCTGCGGGACACCTGGCGGCAGCCACAGCCCACACATGCCACCCCATTACACACACTCAGCCCAGCCTTGAAGTTTCACTTGGACCTGACACGAGCAGAGACTTCAATAGGGACTAAGCAAAACGCAATCACACAAACATTTTCTGTTGGGTCATGGTCACAACCACCACAGACACAGACTCAGAGACAGTGCCACACAGAGACACACACCCACACACCTCACAGAGTCAGGAAATGAAACAGAGACTCGGGCAGGGACCCACCAGCAGTTACACAAACATCCTCCATCAGTCATGGTCACAAACAGGCACAGTGCGCAGGCACACGACCCGACCTGTCACAGTCCCACCCAGACACACAGCACACATGGAGATGGGACACGTCACGATCACGTAGACTGCCAGGCAGTGGTGCCCACTCAGTCTGACATTTCACATCCCCACACACTCAGGCCTGGGGAGTCCCACACGGCCCTGCAGACGGCAGCCCGACCCATCATAACCAGACACATTGTCACACCCCAGGTCCCAGACGGAGCAGCCCCACACACCCAGATACACCCCCAAGGTCGCGGCTCTCACACGCCCAGCGCGTGCCTGGGCCCTGGGACAAGTCCTGGCTGCACCCGGGGATTCACACTCCTGGTCGGTGGACCGCGCCGAGCCCTGGCCACTCCCTCATGACACACCCCGCCCACCTGCCTGCAGCCAGGGAAGGAAACTTGCAGGCTCAGCACCTTCCTGCTGCGTGCGCGCTGCCCCTGCCCTGCCCCCCGCACCCCTTTCCCGGGGTGGCCAGGCCCTGTTGGGACAAGGCAACTCAGGCCCTCAGCCAGCTGCAGGAGCAGGACCGGGGATTAGGGGAGCCCCGCTCCCCTCCCTGGCCTCTGTGGGCAGCCAGGGCCGGGAGGGAAGTCGTGGGGGGAGCCTGGGTTCCGGCTAGAGCCCCAGCTTCCCATCCGGTCCCCATGGGGCAGGAAGCAGGTCCGGGGGAGGCCAGCTGAGGCTTTCCTGCCCCCTCCCCCAGACAGGCCTGGGACTGGGGTCAGCGGGAGGGAGAGGGAGGAGAGGGAGGGATCAAGAGGAAGAAGAGAGGTCAGGAGAGGAGGAGAGGGAGGGAGGGAGGGAGGACGAGCTCCCGCCCCTTAAATCTCTGGACATCCAGAGTATTGGTGTGTTTTGTGTTTCTAATGTGAATTTGAAAATGTTCAGGACTCCTCTGTGTGTGTGAGCTCCTAAGCTTTGTGGTGTGAGTTTTGTGTGTCTAGCACAGGGGCCTCTAACGCACTGGCTGGGTGCCTGTGGGCTGTGTTAGGTGCCAGTGGGGATTTTCAACGTGTGTGTGTCCCCAGCACGTGTTCAACTCCATGTGTTGGTGACTGCTGCGTTTCTGGTGTGTCTGCTGTACAAGCTGGTGTGCTCTCTGTGCTCTGCGTCCTGACATGTGTGACTCGGCAAGTCTGTATATACAGTGAGTTGTATGCCTGAGGTGGGCTGTGTGTCTGCATTTTTTTTCCCCCTCAACATCTTTGCTGTTCTTGGGTGTGAGTTTGACTTGAAATATGGGTGTTTTCTGTGTGTTTATGGGTCTGTGAGAAAGGTGTTTCCAGGAAGTGTTTTGTATTTCTTACACATGAGCTGTTTCAGCGTGTGTGTGACAGTTCCCGGTGTTTGTGGGAGGGCTGTTTCTGGGTTACATTTTGTGACCGGTGTGTGTGTTGCTGGTGTACTGAGCATGTGTGCGTGTGTACGGGGTGTGTCTCTAGCATGCTCGCTGTCTTCCCAGTGTGTGTCCATCTTGGGGACTCGTGTTCTCAGCCTCTGAGGGTGTCTGTGAGCAGGTGGTGTGTGTTTTGTGTCTCCACACGTGGGCTGGTGACTTCAGTGTGTAAGCAGTTGTGTTGGTTCCTATTTTGCATCACCTTCGGGGGCATTTTGAGTTCTCAGCAGGGCGTATGTGTGTTCATTGTGCTGTTTTCAGGGAAGGGGGGCATCGTGCACCCACGTGAAGCCGCGGGCATCCTGGGCAGTGCTCCCAGTGGCCTCTGTGCTGAGTGGAGGCCGCGTCTGCGGCACGTCCCTTGCCGGCTGGTGCCACGCTGGCTCGGGGCTGGCTGTGGCGGGCAGGGCAGGGCAGGGGCTGCGGTGGGCACTGGACCCGCGCCCGGCCTTTGGTATAAATATCCTGGGCTGCCGGCGGCGGTGTTTACTCGGCCCCAGCCCGGGGGTGGTGGCAGCCCGGCAGGTCCCGGGGGGCGGGGGTGACCAGGCCACAGCACAGACATTTCCTTCTGGCCAGACAGACCACAACCTCACTGCCCCTTCCTGCCTCATACCTGGGGCGGGGCGGGGGGGGCAACCCCTTATTCTGGGCTCCCAGGAGTCACCAGTGGACCTGACTCGGACGGGCCGGGCCCCTCTGGGTTTCCCAGTGTCTGGGAGCCAGAGAAGAGGGGAGAGAGGCCGAGATGGGGCGAGGGGGACAGGCCAAGGGCAGCGGGGAGAGGGATAGGAAAAAATGAGGGGAAGAGGAGCAGCAGTGGGAGGGAGGCCCCGACAGAAAGGCAGGGGAAACGGGGCTACGAGACAAGACAGTGACGGAAGCTCAGGCCTGAGGTGGAGGGAATGACATGGAGGGAGAGAAGAGCAGAAGCCCAGGAAGGACGAGGGGGAAGAGAGAAGGGACGAGAGGGGAAACGGTGACAGCCAGAGACAGAAGGAAAGGGTGATGGCATGGGGACGGGGACAGGGGTGGCAGCAAGGACAGTGGGAGAAAAGGACAGTGCAGGCTGACAGTGCAGGGGAGAGGGAGTCGCCATCAACTCTGGTAGGACGCAGAGGTGTCAGACATGGGGGTGGTGGCCAGCGGGGCCCAGCCAGAGCCAGGACAGACAGGAGACACGGGGGTGGGAGCCGGATGTGCACGGAGGGGCTCTCCCCCGACCGGACCCTCCCTTCCTGACTCAGCCTCTCCGCCCACCCCAGCCCGACCTGGGAGCAAGGGACAGGCCACTGGGGCACCTCTGGGTCTCAGCTGCTCCAAGGCTGTGTTCCAGGGGACGTGTCTGACCGGCTCAACCTCTGTCTCAGCTACAAATGCTCCTGCCTCCCACCATCTGACTAACCCTAATTCTGACTCAAGTGCTGTGTACTCTCATCATTTTTTTAAAAAATCACGTACGGCAAAGTATATCCCAACTTTAATGATCGAATGATAGACTGGCAAAAAATGTGCACATCGCTAAGGGCTGATGCCTGTCTTGTGAGTGCTTGCCACCTGAAGGCATAAACACACACGAGTGCCAAGTACCAGTTCTGAAGTCCAGCGGGCTTGATTCTCCTGGGCCTCTGGGAGGCGATACTGAGAGCCTGAGGTGCCCAGGACAGAAGTGATGGTTCCGTGATTCAAGTACTGACTGCCCATCAAGGTGATTTAGTCGCATTTGTGTGGAAGACAGTGTGCCTGGCACGCGGGGACCCAAAGCGTTTGCTGTCATCCTCGACAGCGAATTCCTCTCCAACCTTTCCATCTAAGGACATCCACTCTGAGTGGCCTGACAGCAGACATGCAGACTAGCAGACTGGCCTCTAGGACTTGGGGTTCTAGACTTGTATTTCCGCCTCTGATGAGCACGCAGCCCTGAGTAACATCTCCTGGACCTCCCATGGGTCATGTGAAACAGAGCCGAGTCCCCAGTTCACAGGGACGTTGGGAGGACTCAGTGCAGCAACAGGCACCTCGATCAGGCCTGGCACAGAATAGAACTGCTCAGAAACCGGAACTTTCCTTTTTTAATAGCCTCATTTAATAGCCTTTAATAGCCTGGATGTCCCTTGGCCCCAGTCCAACTCTCACTTTCTGTGTCTGGCTCTCATTCTGGTTGACCCAGAGGGCAGAGCTGAGGCCTAGGGGTCAAGAGCCATGGCCCCAGTCGGCCTTGGGGTCTCCCTTCACTTTGTGTCACGTGCCGGAGGCGGCGGCTTGGACGGTCCTTCAGGCTTGGCTGTGGAAGTATGTCACCACTCTAGCGCACAGGACTAAGGGGTCCCCAGGCCCCACCACTCTGACCCTTGGCCATGTCTTCTCCCCCAGCAGCTGGCTCTTCTCCATGCGTCTACTAGGGAAGCGTGAGCTGGGTGTGGGGGCATGGGAAGGCAGGACGCCTGGGTTCCCACAGGCCGGTGGCTGAGTCACCAGGCGGCCATCTGGCTCCCATTAGCCCGGGGCGGCAGGGGGCTCCACGAGGCGGGCCCTGTGGCTGGCTGGGGGCAGAGACTAGGGGTAGGCTGTGTGTGTGGGATGACTCAGGACCCATGATAACAGCCTGTGCGTATCTGGGAGTGTAAACAGAGAGGGAGGGGAGGAAGTGAAGGGAAAACTGCGGCTGGGCAGAGGGGGGCAGGGGAGCTGGGAGGGGAGAGTCGCCCTCCTCGTCCCCCTGCCCCTATACACAAGCCGGCAGGCCTACGGTCCCCAGCACTGCCCCTGCCTGCCCCTCCCAGGCCTGAGTCCTGAAGGAGAGGTGACCCCTGGTGCCTGCAGTGAGGCCACACTACTCAGCAGGCAGACTGGGGATGACGACACCGAAACCCAGAGAGGTCAAGGCTGACGGAGGTCAAGAGTTGGAAATGGACCCGCAGGAAGAACCACAGGCCCACAGTTCTGAAGGAAAGAAGGAAAAGTAACAGCAGCAGTGAGAGCTGCACAGGCAGAGTGGAGGACGACAGGCAGGGACCAGGACGGGAGGCGGCGAGCTGCCCTGGGGACCGGGGCTCGGCCGGAGCTGGGCGCTGGTGTCGATCTGGCTGGCTCCAGCCATGGAGGGTCCCGCCAGCCTTGGTTAAAGGGAGGACGTTTACCCTGGGCCAGAGGACAGAAGCCGAGGCACAGAGAACAGGAGAAATGAAAGACAGGAAAAGAGACAAACCCAGAGATAGCAAAAAAGAGGAAGGCAGGGCTGGGTGGGGAAACAGGGGGTCCGACACGGGAAGGGCGCTGCGAGACGGGTCCTGGAGAAAGTCGCTGAGCCGCCTGTGAGCAGCTGCCTTGCTTGTGCGGGGGCAGAGTGCCTGGCCCAGCCATCAGTCCCCGTCCAGCTCGGGGCTGGGTGCGTCCTCGGGCTCCTCCTCGTCGAAGTACCTCTCCTCCTCATCCCGGGCCACGATGTCCAAGTTGTCGAAGTCAGGGTTGTCGTCCACGGCGCTGCGGGGGGAAGGGGTGTCAGGGGGTGCTCCTGAGGCCCCTGAGGCCACGTCATATGCTGGCAGCTATAGTAAGTCCCAGCTAACCCTGGGAGGGGGATGTGGGATATCTCGGGGCTTCAAACCAAAGGCGACATTTTCCAAATCAGAGATTTTACCATAGAAACTTCTGGTTTCTCTTGAAAAGCTGGAAGAGGTGATGTGGTGACACAGGGTTAGCCCCAAGTTCCAGAGTCTTCTCAACCAGGAAGACTTTGCCCTCCAGGGGACATTTGTCCAAAACTAGAGATACTTGGTTGTCACACTGTAGGCTGCTGCTGGCATCGAGGGGTTCGAGGCCAGGATGCTGCTCAGTGTCCTGCTGCACACAGGACATCCTCCCACACAAGGAGTCATCCAGCCCAAAGCTCAACAGTGCTGAGGCCCAGAAAGCCTGACTTAAGGTGACACGTGATCTTAAACCGTGAGGAGCCCGGCTCCTCTCCAGACCCTCCCCTGGCTCCCATCACTCACCTGCATGTGGGAAGCCCTGTCTGACCTGCCTGCCCCGATGAGACCTCCTACTCCTCACCCCTCCTGTCGCTCCAGCATCCTCGCCCTTCCTCGTGACTTCAGGGCTCTTGCACCTGCTGTTCCCCCTGCCAAGAACACTCTTCCCCAGAGACTTACGTTGCGTACCCCTCGCTTCCTTGCAGGTCTCTGCTCAAATGTCACTTGCTCAGAGAGCCTTCCCTGGCCACCTTGTTACTCTCCCCGTGACCCCACTTCATTTTCCTTCATGGCCCATCAGCGCTAGATACTTGTCTTCCTCACTACAGAAGGACCCCCTTAGGGCAGGAAAACTCTCGTGGGCTTTGTTCCCCGTTTTATTCCCAGAGCCTGAACAAAGTAGGCACTCAGCACCTGGCGGCCGAATGTGGATGAGGGATGCTTCGGCTCTGCTGCCCAGCAGCGCCCTCTGCAGAGGGGACAGGCTCCGGTCCCCAGCACTCCCCACTCAGCACCCGCGTGGGCTTTCCGATGGCGGTGCTGCCCTGGAGGGCTCCCCACGGCCCAGGCTCTCTGCTCACTGTTCTGCGGGCACTCGGGCTGAGGGGCTCGCCCTGGCTGGGTGAGCCAGACGATTCCGTCTAGGGGCGGAGATACTGTCCCCAGGTACTGCTTGGGGCAGTGACAGTCATGATTCCTATTCTGCTGAAGGGCCCCCAAGGGTCTGCTTTGTTCCCATGGCGTCAGGGCTGGGTTTGAAACCAGGGCTCTCTGCTGCCACACTCGTGTTCAGGACAAGGCGAGATGGCCTCAGTTGATATTTATCTTTGACTCTGATACTTCACTCCTTTATGTCCTTTTTTCTGATGGCAGAATCCTTTCCAAAGCAGGTGTCCCATGTGTCTTGCCCCAGGGCTGTACTGGAGAAATTAACCACCAGCACTGCAGGGGCATCCACCACAAGCTCCGCCCCCACATGCATGAGCCCTGCCAGGGCTTACTTCCTGTCGCATGAGGTCGGGGTCCTGAGGAACACTTGGGAGGCCTGGGAAAAGTGGCATCCTGCCAGGCTACCCCCACTTGTCAGAATGGAAAGATTTCAACGTTTTATCAATATTGAGCTGAATGTCAGCCCTGCGCATTCCCTCCTTACAGAGGGGACTGAGGCTCTGAGAAGGACAAAGCTAGTCCAAGGTAGCCACTGATCTTCAGTTGATCTTAAACCCTGAGGCCGACCTGAGGGCCCATGACATGCAGCTGTTCTGGGGCCATCTAGCACCACGAAGGGGGGCCCTCTGTGGAGGCACCTGGGACCAGGTACGGGGCTGAGGGCTGGGAGGCGGGGCATGGGGCACCTGTAGTCAAAGTCCCCGTCCTTGCCGTCGAGGAAGCGCTGGTGCATCCGGCTGGTGAACTCCTCCCGCAGGATCAGCCTCTCTTCTGAGTCGGGGACCCAGGCCTCTGAGTCTTTGTCGGGGCTCTGGTCTGTGGGGGGAGACACCCGTGGTGGGGGCGGTGAGGGGGGCATTCAGGCAGGCACTGGACACAGTCCACAGAGAGCTGCTGCTTTTGTGCTGGGTGGCACTGGGAACACATCGGTGATCAAGATGGCGCTGGTGCCTGGCCTCCCCCTCTCCCACCAGGATCACACACCAAACACGAAATGAGAATACAGCACTCTGGGGCCTGCTGAATAGGGTCAGGACCAAACGCACCTGACGGGCGGTGAGGGGCAGACATTCTCGGCAGAGGGAATGGCCTGGGCGAAGGCCTGGAGGCGAGGGATTACTTGGTGCCTTTGAGCAGTGGGGACACAGATGCTGGGAAGGGCCAGAGCACACAGGGCACTCGGGCCAGACAGGGGAGGGACTCGATGTCTGCTCTTGCTGGTGGGGCCCAGCCTGGTGCCATGGAATGGGGAGACGCACAGGCCCAGGGCTGGGGTGTCTGGACACTAGGGGGCCCACCCAGATAATGCAAGCTGCTGGCCCTTACCGCCCTCATCACTATCTTCCTCCTCTTCCTCCTCCTCCAGGCAGGCCTCCTCCTCCTCCTGCTGCTGAAGCAGCCGCTGCTGCAGCTCCCGCTCCTGGTAGGACTGGAGCAGCAGGTCAGAAAGCGGGCAGGCGGGCGAGCCAGGGGAGTGGGGCTTGGGCAGCTGGTGGGCCGGGGCACGGGCGCTGAGCTCCTCCTGTGTCAGGTACTGGCCGATGTACTGCTCGTACAGCAGCGGGGCCCGGAACCGCATCTGCTCGTCGCTGAAGTACTCACCCCCTGAGGAGAGGAGGCAAGTGGGTGTGGGGTCAGGGCCTGTGGGCAGCATGTAGGGAGAGCATCTGAGCTCACGTGTGTCCGTGTACATGTGCGATCATGCTGGATGGAAGACATGAACACGTAAGTGTGAGTGTGCACACACATGCATATATGTAGGAAAATATGCAGATACCTGAGGTCATGTAGCCACCAGTACTCATGCATGTGCCTGAGCATGTGTGTGTCACCAGGCCTGTGTCTGCATGTGTGCTGATGTGTCAAGCATGTCCGTGCACTGTCAGGCCCATGGACAACTGTGCGTGGCAGGATTCGCAAGCTCCTATTGTTATGTGCGCACAGCCACCTGTGTGTCTCAGCACACCGCCACGGGCACCTGTGTGTTTGGAGCTGGCATGGAGAATGTTGCAGGCGAGCGTACTGCACAGTCTATGGGACGTGTGTGCCTGACTGCTGAGCCCATTCCGGCTGCTGGTGCGTACACCTGGAATGCCCTGCGCTGCTGGGCGCCTAAGTGGACATCTGCATGGAGCTGGCCTGTGTGTGCACGGGATCAAACAGGGCAGGGCCTCTGTCCAGGCATGGGGTCCGCGGTGGTCTTCCAGATCGGGACCTCACCTCTCTCTCCTTATGCTCCTCTCGGCAGCCACCCACCGGGTGGGCCTGGCTTTCCCCGTCCCCAGACCCCGGCCCTTCGCAGCTCTCCTGGCTGCCTGGTCCGTTCCCCTCTCTCCTAGTGCATGCCTTCTCCCTAATTAGAAACTTAACTCTCTCTGCTTCTTTTACTCTCATTTCACTTTAGTTCTGGTGTCTTTGGTCACAAAGACACCTGTGGCTACATCACGGTCAAAAAGATATTGATGTTTTTCTTCATGCTTTTCACGTGTCCTGTTTGAGAGGCCTTTGCATCCCCAGGGTCATAAACACATTGCCCTAGGTTTCCGGCAATGCCCTTATGGGGTGTGAGGGAGGGATCTAGTTTTCCTGCGGGATAACCAGTTATCACAGTGCTGGGTACCAAGTCCTCGGCTCCCTGATCTGAAATGGCACCTTTGTCATCTACTAAATTCTGACCCCCCCACTGCCTGTCCCATTCTCTCCCCCGGGTCCCTGTTTGCCCTCTCACCTCACATTTGTTTCAGACTCTCCTCGTGTCCCTGTCCAACACTTGTCCCCCAGGATCTCCGTCTGCGTTTCTGCTCTTGCATACTCGTTTCTGACTTCCTCTGCCTCAGTTTCCCCTCCCGCCAAGCCCACCCGCCCCCACACCTTGGATGAGCTCACGCAGGGCTGCGTAGCGCCGGTTCCGCAGGCGCGTGCGCAGGGTGCGGGGTCGGGCAGCGCCCTGCCGGGCCACCTCAGCACAGTAGAAGTCTGCACGATGGTCACCGCGCAAGTGGCCGAAGCAGGCCAGGTGCTCCTCGCGGAGGCCGGTGCGAAAGCGTTCCAGGAACACTAGCGGCTTCTCGTGGTATAGCTGGCCCAGGATGGCCACCTTCTCCCGCTCGGTCAGGTCAGGCTCGCCTTGCTGCTGGCTGCACACGGGCAGGCGGCTGGCAGCCACGGCACGCAGCATGGCGCTCACTGCCGCGTTCTCGGCCCCAGGGGGGTCCTCATCCAGGGCCCTTGACACTCTCTCTGCTGCCTCCACCTTGTCCGGGGGTCTGGATGGGACTGGTGTCCAGTTCAGCTCCCCCCAGTGCCCAGGACTGGGCTCTGTGCAGCCTGTGCGGGGAGGAGAGGTTTGTTAATCCAAGGATGGGAGTGGGGGAGGGGGAAGTGGGTGGAAGGGGCTCCATGCTCAGTCCCTTACTCGCTTGGCATTTATTGAGCACCTACCATATTCTGGGCCCTGTGCTAGGCCCTAGAGATACCTCAGTAAGCAAGAAGTTGACATTTTAATAGGGGACACAAACAATTAAAAAACACTATTACTGAAAACACATAATGTATTAGGAAATATACAATATGTTAGGTGGTTTCAAGAGCTACGCAGAAAAATACAGGGGGAAGGAGGAGGGAACACGGGGAGTCACAGAAGGCCTTGCCAAAAAAGTGACATTTCAGTAGAGACCTGAGGTGGTGAGGGACTGAACAATGAGATTTCTGGGGGAAAAAGGCAAAGGGAACAGCCAGTGCAAAGGCCCTGAGGCAGGAGTGTACTTGGTGTGTTTACCTGGTCCTTTACCACTTCATTCACTGATTCAGTTAATTTGCATTTGTTCATGAAATCATTAACGCATTCACTTGCTTGTCTACTCATTCATTCATTCTCTCCTGCTCATTTATAATTCATCTAACCACTCTTCAGCAACTCGAAATCTATGCCAGGCCCTCAGCTGGGCGATGCTGAGGAGTTATGAGAGGACTTCGACACAGCTCCTGCCCTCACGGAGCACCCAGATGACCAGAGAGACAGCCAAGGTCAAAGAAAACAGGCCCTGGAAACAGGAAAGCTGTGCCAGGCAAATCTTGGTGAGAGCTGCTTCCTGAAAGTGGTGGGAACTGGAGCCAGGCTGTGGCAAGCAGGAGGTGAAGTGAAGACAGAAAGTACAGACAACTCCTCTAGGTAGCTTAGCTGAGATGGGGAAGAGCAAGGGGGTGACGGTTACAGGTACATGGATTTCAAGGAGGGTTTTAATCACTGGCAAGAGAAGACTGAATTGGGCAGGGGCTGTGGAGGGAACAGGAGAGGTGGTGGTCAGGAAGATGCTCAGGAAGCCAAGCAGACAAGCCATGGGGCTGAAGGGCTGGGAGGTGAGGAAAGTATCCAGTCAAGATACAGGGCTCTGGCCCGGGAACTGGTCAAACTGAGCCTGAGACAGAGACATGGACGAGGAGCAGGTTTGAGGGAAGACGCTGAGGCCAGTCTGGGACATGGAAGGTATGATGGGCCCAGGAGACATCCAAGGGGAGGCAGCTAAGAGACCACTCATACGTGGGACTATAGACTTCTTGGGAGAGAAATGCAGGGCTAGGGACAGAGTTGTGGGGGTCATCAGAGCCAAGACAAGAACTAAAGCTGAAGGAAATGAGAGGTCATGGTGAGGGCAGGGGTGTGTGTGTGTGAGGGATGAGAAGAGAAGAGGAGCTAAGAAAGAGCCCTGACTGGGTGGGGAGACGATATGGCCGTGAAAGGCTAACAAATGTCCTCCCAAAGATGGCCAAATCTTCATTCCTGAAAACCGCCAATGTTATCTTATGTAGCCAATAACAGCAAAAGGGTCTTTGCAGATGTGATTAAGTTAAGGATCTCAAGATCTTATCTTGCATTATTTGGGTGGGCTCCAGATGCCATCACAAGTGTCCTATAAGAGAGTCCAAGATTTGACACACATGGAGAAAGCCATTTGAAGACGGATGGAGGCAGAGACTGGAGTGATGTGATGACAACCCACGGAAGGCCAGGAGCCGCCAGAGGTGGAAGAGGCAAGGATTAGGTTTTTCCCTAGAGCGTCTGAAGGAGCCCTCCACGGTCCTGCTGACACCTAGATTTTAGCCGGGTGATGCTGACTGGTTTGACTTCTGGCCTCCAGAACTGTCAGAGAATAAATTTTCTCTTGTTTTAAGCCAACCCTAGGACACTAACAGAGGCTGAGCAGGAAGAGCCTGAGAGAAAGGAAAAAAATGAGAGCGGTGTCATGGAGACCAAGGGAAAACTTTCGAGAAGGACAGATGGGTCAATGGCATTGAATTCTCCATGTCGTCTAGCAAAAAATTAACTGAATAGAGTAGCCCGGTTTAACTATATGGGGAAGTCACTGGGGACCCTAATCACAGCAGTTTCTGAAGGTAAAAGCCAGACTTTAGTGGGTGGGAGGTGAGGAAATTGAGACAAGTATTCACAACTCTTTGGAGATGATAGACGGTTTCTGGAAGGCAGCATGGCATCAAGGGACAGATTTGCTTTATTAGGTTAAAAGGTTTTTTATTATGGAAAATTTCAAACCTACACAAAAGTAGAGTAAGAACCTGCGCCCCCCTTCTCAATACAACCATCATCCAGCTTCAACAATTACTAATTCTTGGTCACTGATGTTTCGGCCTCCCAACCACACCTCACCCAACACGGGATTACTCTGAAGCAGGGAGATGGAATTGGAGGATGAGCAAAACAAAAGCATTTTAGATTCTGATGGGAAGCCGTAAGGAGAAATAAAGAGACTGAAATGCAAAAGAAAGAAATGGGGGATGTGGTTCCATAGTGTGGCGGTCAGCATGTCTGCTGTACAGGCAGTAGGTCCTGCGTTCGCGCCCCAGTGGAGCCACGGTCCATGGTCTACAGCCATGTCACCCTGAACAAGCCCAGTGTCTGATCTTGGAAGCTAAGCAGGGTTGGGCCTGGTTAGTACTTAGATGGGAGACCACCTAGGAAGACCAGGTACTGTAGGCATACATAATAATAAAAAATAAAAAATAAGAATTAAAAAAAAAGAAATTGGGGGAGCACAGAAATGGATTAAGAAACCTGAGGAGGCAGACGAGACTGTGAACTTTGGGGGAATTGGGATTAGAATGAAAAGAAAACGCAGTTAAGTCTGGGATAAGCGCAGAGTTTGCATGGGGCAGGAGGAGGGTTGGCCTGGAGTAGAAGGGTTAGCCTGGGGCAAGGGAAGGGTAGTTCGACAAAAAGAAGAGGGTAACTTGAGAAGCAGGGTTGGCTGGGACAATGGGAGTTAGTCCGGAACAGGGGAGAGGTTTATGTTAACCTGAGAATTAGCCTGCAAAGGAACTGGATTCGTCTGGGTCATGAAAAGGCTGGCCTGGAACTTGGAAGAGGTTAACTTAGGTTAACTTCCGGGAAGGGGATCGGGTAAAGGAGTTCAGCCCGTAACGAAAGGGGTTAATCTGCACAAAACAGTGAAGTGGACAAGTAATGCTCGAGGACAAGTGTCCCGCAACAGAGTCCTCCATCGCGCTCAAGGGGAATCATTTCCCAGTGACACCGCAACCCCACCTTCCCGTCGCCTCCGCGTGGCCAAGACCTCACCTTCATCGGGTTCCCTCGTCGCCGCCGCCGTTGCCACGGCCTCCATGTTGGCTTTCTACTACTTGTTAACCGCCGTGGCAGGCGCCGTACACTAAGCCTGGCCACACGCCCTCAGCGGCCACTTCCGGCTGAGCACACACCCGGGGCCGGGTGCTCCGCCGAGCCCAGAATCGAAGTTCCGGGCCGAGGGCGGACCTTCTATGCGCATGCGTGCCTCCTCGGGTCCCGCCCCCTGGAGCCAGGAAGGAAAAGGGCTCCCGGGTCTGAGAACCCCTTCCATTCCATCCCCGTGCGAATTGCTCCGAAATTGGAATATGAGGAGGGATCTGAACCATTGTTCGACCTGTTCGCTGCTGTGACTTGAGCCCAGCACGCTTAATTTTGGGATGGATTGTTTAATGAGAAACCCTCTGGGTCTCAAAGAGTTTGTGCTCTAGTTTAGACCAGACTGTCCCCTTATTTCTTCACTTCGAAGAATATTGACTAAGCCTTGTCTCTTGCTTCTGTCATCACACCAAGTCCCTGGCTCGTGAGACAGGTGATGAGGACCTGGAGAATCTGCAGATGCGGAGGGAGAAAACCATGGCCCTGATTTGCTCCTAGGTGATGGGTAGGGACTCAGTCAGGTGTGTTACCAGTAGACATGCCACCAGTCACCACCCTGACTAGACTGACTGATCGAGGAGACTAGGGGAGCTGCCGCTCTAGCCTGGAAGGTTAGAGAAGGCTCTTTTGGAGAGGGGATGCCCAAGCTGAGACCTTAAGGATGAATTAGGATAAGAGGAAGGGAGGTGCATGAGGCAAAGACCCAGATGTGAAGACAGGCATGGATAGTTCTGGTTGCTGCAAGGACTTCAGTGTGGCCGGAAAATAGGAAAAGAATTCTAAGTTCATGATTGGGCTGCAGAAGATTTGAGAACCTCACAAATCTTTAAGCAAACTTCCACATATATGTGGATTGGGTTCATGGAACTTGTAGATTCTACAAGGGACTTGTGAGTCCCCCAGAACAAATCACCAATCTGAAGTCCAAAGGGGGAGCAGCAAAAATGAAGCTTAGTGAGGTGATCAGGGGCCAGCTGTGGGGGCCCCACAAGCCATATTAAGTAGCTTGAACTCCTTTCTATCCTGTCAAGGTAAGGGACTGGAGATCAGGAGACCTGTGAGGAGGCTGGTACAGTAACCGAGACTGGCCAAGGGCAGTCTGCATTCCTAGGATAAGGAATCTGGAGGAAAGTGGCCCATTTGCCACACTGGGTAGATGGGGACACTTAAAAACGTTATCACGGGAGAGGCCAGCAGAGGGCACTGTTGCCCAACACACAGACCTGTCCAGAAGAGGACCTCCCTACCGCTCTGAGAAGGGTGTGTGTGGAGGGGGATACTCTAGGGTTCCTTTAGGCCCAACTAGCCATCAACTTTGGCTCTTCTCACGTTGAGGCCCCACCCCTGACCTCAAAATGAATCGGCCTTCCTCCATTTTGTTGCTTGTATTCCCTTCACAAGGCTGAGATACTTCATGTGACGAAAGGGATGAGATTGAAGTGGCCACTCTTGTACCCAGCATTGTCCCTCACAAAGGTCTAGGAACACAGAAGGTCCAATGGAGATGAAGAAATGACTCAAATAGCTGGGGGAGGAGGCTGATAGGCTGTGGGAATGCAAAGTCCTTCACCCTGGCTCACTCGTTCAAAAAAGTTCTCTAAGCACTCACCTCACCACCTCCCACACAGCAGGCCCTCACAGCTGGCCACCTGCTGCTGTCACCACTTGATGACAGATCTGTTACCTTTGGACTGGGAGCCCTGTGAGGGTAGGGTCTGGTGCTGCCTTAAGCCATGCTGTGTCCCCAACATTGTCTAGACTGGGTGAGGAACAGACCAAGTACCTAACACATTGGCTGGATAAAGTAGCTCCACAATCTACACTAGACTGGAACCAGGAGTGCGGGCAGAAACCATCCTAAGGCCAGCTCACAGGCCAGGCCTCAAGTGGATGAGCAGTCACAGCCCAGCCTCGGTCTCAACTCCATCATCCCTACCTCACCCTCCACCTAGGGATCTGGTTCCCTGCCTTATACTCACACTTTCCTGTAGAGATTTGGTACTATGAATGGACAGGAAAGGGCAAGGACCAGAGAACCACTTTAACAATGAGCCAGTGGGTTTTTAAACTGAGGGCCTCAGTTTTAAGGGGGCACCCCCAGCACCAAAAACGGGGCCAGGCACAGGAATCCCTCAGTAAGTGTTTAATGAATGAGTAAATAATATCCCCTTGAAAAGGCCCCACCCCAATTAAAGTCCAAGTGCAGTAACGCCTCAGGGTTTCGACCCTGCTTCCTTCCTGCTAGGAGGTGCCATGTCATTTATTGAAATAAAACAAAACAAAACAGGGCAAACACATTTCTTAATAAGTGCAGTTTGTTAAAATCCTGTTAAAACATATGGGTCAAGGGGAAGTAAAAATAAGCAGAGGATCACTGTAGGAAAAACCTTCAGATCCGGCACCTAGGTGACCTCTGGAGAAGAGGCAGTGGGAGAAATTTCATGTTCCAAAGAGAAGGAGCCCCCTCCCCTTTTTCCCTCCTGCCCGCTTAATCCCACCAGAAACTACCAAGACGCCTAGAATAAAAGATTTCAAGTTCAATAGTCACACTCTCTCCAAATACAAAAAGCAGTTACAATTCAACTCAACACAGAAGCTTGTGTGCAAAGTTACGGGAAACTGAGACATCGTATAAAAAGTTAGGTTAAAGATGATTCTGTGGTTTTGTTTTTGTGTGTGTGTTTTGTTTTGAGGGTGTGGCCTTCCTTGGGTGCCTGAACTCAGCAAAGAAATGGTTATCCTGATGAAATATCAACAGCCGACCCACAGTAAAAACGGACAAATTCTAAAAATTAAAAAAAAAGCATAATTACCAAAAAAATATGTCACTGCTTCCTCCCTCCCCATGTTGCTTTTTAAACTTTTTTTTTTTAAGTTTTTGATTTTTTTTTTTTTTTTTAATCCTGAAAAGTAGACAGTAAAACAGCTCCTGGGAGAATTTACAACCAACTGCATGAAGGTCTGGGAAGCTGAGGGGCTGGAGCAGGGCTGGGACAAGTAGACAGGAAGGGGCTCTCCTCAGCCACTGTAGCCTCACTGTAAGACCAAGGGAGAAGGGGGTCTTTAGTCAAAAAGGAGAAAAGGAGTCAGAGGTTGAGGAGGGAGGAGACGAAGGGAGAAACAGAAAATGAAAGGTCACTGTTGCCTGTTTGAATCCAGAGAAAAATGCCCAGCCCTGTGTGGGGGAAGAAGCCCCTCAGAGCGGAGGCAGCAGGCTGGAGGGAGGCAGCCCTGGGATGACCCGATCCTCAGCACCACAGGACCCGATGGGGCAGATGAGAGGCCGAGGTGGGCGCTGGTGGAGGAAGCCGGCGGGGGCCTCCGGGGCACATGGCTACTGAGTGCTCGTGCCCCCCTGTGTGCTCCCGGCGTAGCTCCCGTAGTCGTAGTTCCCGTAGTATGGCGGCCACTGGCCCTGGTTCTGATAGTACTGGTTCCACTGCTGGGCATACTGGGGAGAAACCAAGAGCACCAAGTTGTCCCTCATCCAGACCCGCATTTGGCTCCTGCCCTCACTCCACTCTCACCCAGAGTAGCAAGGGGTGCAGTGATAACAGCCGACACACGGGCCCCCAGAGAAATCAAGGCACCTCGGGAGGACAAGTGACTGACCTGATGCCACATGGGTGGGCAGTTAGGTCTCCGGGCTTGCCAACGTAATGCCCTTTCAGGTATAGCTAGGTACCAAGTTCAACATACTTGATCACCATGGCCAGTGTCCATTCTTATGGGCAGGTGCGGGACAGACACTGGCCACCGCTATGCCTTTTTCCTGGCTGCACTGGGGAGAGGGACCAGGATACCAGTCGTAGCAGCCAGTGCAGAAGTGTTCATCAAATGGAATGGCTGTATCAGACGAACGCCAGCCTGAGGCCAGCAGGCTGCCCATCTTCTCAGGGATAAGCAGGGACTCAAGTCTGGGAACACACATCCACGTGGAGCCCCTGGAGGTCTCTGCATTCCACTGCCCAGCCCTTGCCCCCACTCTGCCCAGCACTTACCTGCTGATACTGGTTATAGCTGGGCTGAGGGTAGGTCTGTGCGGTGGGGGGTGGTGGTGGGGTGTAGGGTGCCGGGGTGTAGCCGCCGTAGCTCCCATAGTTGTAGGCAGGTGGTGGTGGAGGCGGAGGTGGTGGAGCTGTATAGCCCTGGCTGTAACCTCCCTGACTGTAGGGCGGCTGGCTGTAACTCGGCTGGAAAGTGAGGGGGGAGGGTATAATCAGGGCTCTGTAAAACAGCCGGCTCCGCAGTGGGCCCGCAAAGGAACTTCCCTGGTGGAAGCTGTTTGAGGGCTCAGGGGGAGGTGAGGCAGCTCTGCGGCATGGCAGGACAAGGTCGGATGCAGGGCTGTGTTCTAGACCCTAACCCAGCTCTGAGACCCTGGGGGTGTGGGGCAAGGTGCACAGCACTTCTTGAAATCTTTTTTTTTTTTTTTTTTTAAATGAGAATTACAACAGAACTACCCCTTCGATTGCCTTGTGTATTCAGTAAGCTTGTGTGCAAAAACCACTGGGCACTCAGTGAATGGTGGCAGTCATTACGGGAAGAGCTGCTGAGAAAAACAGTGGTGGCAACTTCCTAAGTGCTTCCCGAGTCCAGGCAGTATCTCTATCTACTCCCCCACCAGCTCCGTGAGGTCGGCTCCATTAACCTCATTTTACAGATAAAGAAGCTGAGGCTCAGGGAGGTGAAATCACTGGGCTCAAGTCACACAGCTAAAAAGTAGCAGAGCCAGGCCTTGACCCCCAGGTCTGCCTAGCCTAGCCCACAGTCTTACACACGAGGCTGTGCCACCACCCATGCCCGACAGTAAACCTCGGATGTGAGTTCTACTAACGACTCTAGTCTTTTATGAGGAAAACGAGGTCCAGAGAGGCAAGGCTGCTTGTCCAAGGGCACAAAATCAGGATGCTACAGGGCTGGGGCTTGAATCTGTAACTGCCCAGTGCTTGTCTAAGAAATATTCTGCTTAGACCAGGGCTGGGAACCATTCGTCTGTCTCCTAGCAGCTCTTGCCAAGTCTGGCACGTGGAAGGTGCTCAGGAAAGGGCTGCACAGTCAATGGAGACTGCTCTGGGTGACA